CAAATAAAGAACCGATGAGATTTTGCAAATTTTATGCGTTTTTTTTTTAAAAAAAGTTATCAAGCTCTTAAAAAATCACCATTTACTAATTATTACTATTACTCTTATTGAATCATGCACTACTACTGATTTGTTCATGGGCTGAAGGCACCGGCTGTTTGTGTTTTCGTTGACATTTATTTCATCCGTTGTTTACAGTTTTGCTACGAAAAAACAAAAACAAAATCGTTTTCTTTCATTTTCTTATGAGCTGTGTTTCCTTGGGCAATGATCGGGATCCGGATAAAGAATTTGCACGCAAATTTTTTCTGGCGAAACTTAGGATAAGGCAAAATATATTTTTCAGCTCCAAAATTTTTTCAAAAGGAGTAATCATTTATTTATTTCTGATTCCACTGGGCAGTTCATTATTTTTGTGTACATAAAAACATATACATACATAAATATTTATATATTCCTAAATATATTTCCAATGTAATCTTTCTTTATTCAAGCAATATTTTACAAAAGCAAGCACATATATACCAGTACATATGTATGGATGGAGTTATTTGAAATTACTTCAATGATGAATAAAAATTTATTAATCATTCGCAAGTGCTTGAATGAAGAATAAAAATTTATTCGTCATTCAAAATTGTTGAAATTATGAATAAAAACTTCTATTTTTTTATTCAATTATTAATTTTCCTGATTACGCCAATCCCTGATATATACCAGTATATATGTATGTATGTATGTATGTAAGAGTAAAAATTATAAAACATTTACAAATTCAAGTACAATGCTAACGTTTTTGTTTAACGTTTTGTCGGATGCAAAATTAATTTAATTCCTAGCGTGTCACTATTTGCTTTATATGTATGTACGTAAATAAGTCAATAAATCTACTTCATATATAAAATTTAAATAAGATAGTCCAAATTAAATAGCCAACTCCAGCATCTAAAAATTTGTTTGTCCCCTCGCCTGTAGCCTCTCTTTTAGATTAAAATTCTGCATGCTGCATTTGAACATCATAAAAAATTTACGCAAAGGGTCTTTTTTTAC